AGTACATTTGACATTTGAATGTTTAGACTGCCTCTAATTGGAACCAACCCAAATGTCCTTCCCTTAGTAAATGAACAAAGAGATCCTATGGCCTGTCTAATTGACAATTATTCAGGAGCACAGACAAAGCAACAGGATGAATCAGAGATGCACTATGGGTACTGGTCAGGCACAGGCTACAAACGGTGATTCATTCTCCACATAGGGCACAAAGACACAGGAATGGAGAGCAGACTAGAGTTGCCAGGGTTGGGTGGGAAGACAGCACAGCTATCAAGAGCATGAGGGAAATTTCTGATGATGGGAATGTTCTGTATCTTTACTGATGGTATACAATAAAAGTCAAAAAAGGGTACTCTTGTATCTTGAGAAACCTAACTTTTAAGAAGAAACTAGGGGCTAGAGAGATGGCTTAGCAGTTAAGAGCACTTGTTGCTCTCACAGAGGACCAAGGTTCAAACCCAGCACCCACATGGCAGCTAACAACCATCTAGAGCTCCAGTTCTAGGGGACTTGATGCCCTCTTCTGAATTCTGTAGGCAATGTACAAGGGTACACTTCCATACATGCAGGCAGAAGACTAATACACATAAAATTAAAATAAACCAAAAGAATTTTTTTAAAAATAAAAATGTTAAAAAAAAATAAATCAATAGAGCTGAGCATGGTGGCTCATGTGTTTAGTCCCAGCACTCAGGAGGCAGAGGCAGGCTGATCTCTGTGAGACTGAGGTCAGTCTGGTCTATATAGTAAGTTCTAGGCCTACTGGGGCTACAGGGAAACCCATCTCAAAATAAAAAAAAAAAGTAACAAATTTTTAAAATATTTTATTTTTATTTTATGTGTATGTGTGTATTGCCTGCGTACGTAAGTGCACCTGTGTCATGTAATGCCTGTGAAGGACAGAAGAGGCTGTTGGAGCCCCTGGAACTGGAGTTACAGTTGTTAGCTGCCATGCGAGTGCTGGGATTCGAACCCAGGTTGTCCTAGTTTGTTCTTCATTGCTGGGACAAAACACTCTGACCAATACCAACTTGGGGAGGAAAGGGTTTATTCAGCTTACAACTCCCAGATCGTAGTTCATCAGGGAACCCAAGGTAGGAACTCAGGTCAAGAACCCAGAAGTAGAGCTGGAGCACAGGCCATGGAGGAACGCTGCTTACTGGCTTACTCCCCTGGCCCCTGCTCAGCCTGCTTTCTTATGCAACACAGGCCCACCTGCCCAGGGGTGGCACCACCCACAGTGGGCTGG